GGAGAGTAGATTTAGATTGGACATCAGGAAAAAAATTATTTATGCTGAGGGTTGCCAAAACATGGAATGGGCTTCCAAGGGAGGTGGTGCTTTCCCCTACCTTGGAAGCATTTAAAAGAAGGTTAGACAAGCACCTGGCTGCGTTACTTGACCCCAGCGTGCTTTCCTGCCCAGAAAAGGGGGGTCGGACTTGATGAGAGAAAGGAAATAGGCCAGTCAGTAGGAATACCAAATTAAGAAAAGGCATGCATACTTTTCCTAGCAATAAAGGAATGCAGTGGTGCAAGAAAAAAAGATCACACAGCAGTCAGAAGAGAACCATGTATGAAGACAAAATTCCTGTAGGAAATGCACTCTAGACCTTGCTCAGTATTCAGTAGGGCCTAAGAGACTACTTCTGTAGTCTGCATAATCAGAAACTACCCAAGAGGTCTCAGAAAGAAGGCAGTTGGAGTAGAGAAGGAGAAGGTTAGGAGAACAAGGATATCTGACGTAATGGTTGAAGAGCATTATACTGTATACATTAACAGAAAGTGGAAGGTTATAATGTCTTCTTTTGAAGTTCATAGGCTTAACCATCTTTTAATTCAATCTTGTCCACTGATCTGCCCTTATGATCTGTCACTTTTAAACTTTTTGAGGTCTTTTACACAGATTTTTCTACAAAGCATAGACTTTGTAAAATGGGGACAGCAAAAGCAGAGGCCTGGAGGAATTATACTGAAATATTATCACAGCAGTGTAAATGAGCTATCTTTTAACTAACTGCCCTGTGCTACAGGTAAGTCATCTTCCTCATTCTTTCCATACTGATGAGATACTTGTGGTACCCATGTGCTGCGAATATCCTCTGTGGAAACACTACAGCACAACAGAATATGTTCCCAATGACTTCATTTCCACCAATTTATTTTCAAATTTAACTTAATTTGTACATACTCTCTTTGCACTACTGCAAAAACAGTGCCTTTTAATTCTAACTTCTCAACTGCAGCTGCGTATGGCTATAAACAGCAAAACCCTTACTCAAGTACCAGTACACATTTTAAATGACTTTAAAGATATTTCCCGAATAATCATTACTGATACTTTGATGCAGTATCTGAAGGTGCTAGGCTTGGTCTGAAGACGAGACAAACAAGACAGAACAACAGTTATACAACACTTCCAAAACGCAGCTATCCTCTACATGTGGTGTTAGCAGCAGCCCCTACAACTGATAAAAGAGCAGTGTAGTCGGTTGATGTTGAAAAAAAGGACCATTGCTTTTTTGTGCACAGTAGAAAAGGAAAGAATTGCAAAGATGAAGATGTCTGACACTGCACTAGACAACCCTGCCTGTAATATCAGGAAAATATTTAGCTTTTTACCTTCTTCAGCTGAGTTTCCATTTTCAAACATTCCTCTTTTTTCTGCTCCAGTGCAATTTCTAATGTTTTGAGTCTGGAGTCTTTCTTCAGACCTGAGGAAGCCAAGGATGAAGCATGCTCCTTCAGATCCAGCAGGGAAGCCTAAAACAAGCAAGAAAAACAACTGCAAATGGATATATAATCATACGTAGTAACTAGACTTCAGATTTCTCCTTTTGTTGTTGCTTTCCTCCCATCTGTAAACTCAGTATTCTGGCTCCCATTTTGGAGCAAGAGATCTGACTGGACACCATTCATGGGGCTCATCTAAGACAGTTTGTTGCATGTTTTCAAAATCAGGAACCAATCTAAGTTCCTTAGAATAAATTGGCAATTACTGAGGATATCATAAAGTGGCATTGTAGCAACTGAAGCAATAATGTCTAAATGCAAAGTTTTAAAAGGATTGAAGAAACATAAAGAACATTAAAAAGCGTTCAAAGAAAATTGGTGGCCCCTTATGGTGGCCCCTAACCATTGAAACTTACTCCCCCTGGCTACTTCTAATATTGTCCAAAATGTTGAATTTTTTATTCATGGGATTCTCCTTTTTACAACTTTTTTCTCTCCTCCTTTTGCACACTCACCTTTGAGCAATTATACTTTTAGATGTGTGTGTGTGGAGGGGAGTATTTGTGTGCACACATACAATTTTTTGTATTGTTTTTGTTAAATATGTTTTTTAAATTTAACCAGACTGAAGTTTAAAACCCCCAGATGAATGTAGGAAGTCTGTGCATCTTGATATAAACATGCTAAGTTGGCTGCCTGTCTACAGGCATCATAAGAAAGAAGTTTATTTATTTACATTAAGATGGCTCTTCAGAGCTAGAAAGGATAGAAATACTATTTACCTAAACTTGAAGAGGATATAGCAAATCTTTTGTCTATATATCCTCTGTACCCACAAGTTTGATCAACCTCTTTTCTTCCCCCCAGACACTCAATTAGAAAGCAGCATACATCTTAAAACAAGCTGAGAAGATGCTATTGCATCACATGTCCCTGATCTGTACTACTTTTAGAGAAGTGATTCTTCACTTCTTTGGACTCAAGGCCCTCCTTGGAAAATGGCAGCTCTTAGTTTTCACTTGTTTTTTCTGATTATGGAGAAGTAACAGCAATTTTTCTGTTTGAAGAACTCAGATAGATCAGAACAGGTCAGAAAGTTTTAGCACTAAGACTTTCTATTTGAAATCTCCGAATTTATCATGTGAATCACGTTTATATACTTAACAGTGCTAACATGGCAACCTTGAAAGGATTTCAAGACAACCCAGAGTGCTATGACACCCTGGTTGAGAATCACAGGTTTAGAGAATCAGATCAATAGAACTTTCCTCTTCCTCTCATTCACTTCAGCATATCTAATATGCAGTAGGTCTGTTCCAAACATACTGAGGCCCAGATAAGTGCTCCCAATGACCACGGAACAAACTCACAACTTCAACAACAATGCTAGTGATCAAACCATAGCAAAAAAAAAAAAAATGAACCTCATGCTAAGCTATAACAAAGCTTCCTGAGACTTTTATGTTTGCAATGCACCACACAGTAGATATGTAGTGCACAAATTTCTTGAAGAACCATGACTATAAAACACCCTCTTTTCTCTCTCTATCGCTCACAAGTCTAACGATAGGACAGGTTCGTTCTGGCATTAACCTCTTTCTCCGAGAGATCTCCTTGCAAGAGGCTGACTTTTTCTTTTAGGTCCTTAATATCTTTCTTGAAGTTGTCGATCTCTTCCTGTTTTTCTCGCTCATCCCGGTCCCGTTGCTCTTTCAGGCGCTCAATAGTCCGCTCCTGTCAAAAGAACACAATGCTCAGTGAAGAAAATCTTGTTGAGCCAGCTTACTTCTGTGATGACATCAGGTCACATCTCTTCTTACTAGTTTTAGGGGAGAAAATATGCAGTTTTGCCATTTTCCTCTTGCATCTCTCCCTACCAGACCCCAGTTAGGATAAAAATATTTTGAAACCTCTTTGGTTTTAGATATAAGTTCTAGGCATCTTGTTACTGCAACCTCTCCAATCAATGAATTTTTAACAACACTAATATAGTATAACCATATTTAGCCACCTTAGGAACAGAAACTACACATAAACCAGGATAAGCAATCAGAAACCAATTAAAAAAATTAGCACAACAGAAGTTGTGTGTTATGTGCACTGGCACATAAACCATTTTCAAAATCGCCAAAATCAGTTTATGATAAACCTGGATGGATGTAATATCAGACTTAATTGATTTAGGTTAAACCAGTTTATTGAACTTTTGTCCCAGATCCTCTCCAGATCCAAGTTAAATCAGTCCCTTAGCATCCCCAGATGCGTTGCACTGCTCCTCAAACCTCCCTTTGCAGGATGGGCTGGCTAGCCTTGGCCCAAGCTGTCTGATCCAGCCTAGCAGGGAGGAGTGCTCTAGAGCCCCCTGGCTTCTGGCCTGGGCCACTGAAGGCATGCGGCTGCCTTTCCAGAATCTAAAGTGAATGTCTGTTCACTTGCTTATCAGTTCAATCTATGCAGCTTAGACTACCCTAAGAAGATCTAATTAATTCAGCCTCCGGCTTTTTGACTGTCTATACTTAGACCTTCCGATTAATGGAAGCTCAGTTGTATCTCTGACAGCAAGGTACATCAGGCATTATTTCTTTACTTACTCCAATTCTACTTTTTTTGAGCTGTTGCAATATACCTATAACCCTTCAAACAGAAATACCTGTAATGTAAAAGTTGTGGAATGCAAAACTAGCATGGGAAAAAGCAAAAAAAAATCTCTGTACATGAAGTATCAACAGATATTCAACCAAGTTTGAAAGTGAGAGCATTCTATATATAAAATAAGCCCTAATGTGAGACAAACATAATATCAAAGCTTTGTATTCACAGTCGGCCAGATTTAGGGAACCACTATTCAAAACAGAATATATATGGTAGTTCCCTCAGTCACTAATCCCCTCAGAATTGGGCAACCATGAAAAATAAAGTCAGACAATAAGGTCATGAAGACAGGAGACTACCATATCATTGCAACATTTGATTTAATTTTGAGAAACAAAAAAGATAGGTTCTAGATAGGGAACTTAAAATCCCTTATAAAACACACAAGGAAAATTTTTTAAAAGAATAAGCAACATATCAGTCTAACTGGAAAAGTTATACCACTGACAGAATAAAAACAGCCCAAGCAAGATCCTATGCAAGTTTATATTAGGCTGGCACAGTATATGGAGCAACTTTTTCTGTTTTACAGTTATAGGACAGACCTAATGCATAGGATAGCATCTTGCAGCCCAAAACCATGGACACCTGAACTTTATACCTAAATCTCTTAACCCCCTCCCCCAAAGTCCTATTTCTAGCAGACACACTGAGAACCGTACTCAATCTCCTTATGCAAAAGATGAGTCTGAGTGGCAGCACAGTGCTTGTCAGAATATCCTATGCTGACCCCTAGTGAAGTCAGTCTTTCCTTGTAACTGCTATTCAAATCATCCTCTGACTTCTTGCAACAATCGTCAGAGAACAATGAACAACACAACTACATTGTAAAAAGATTTCATCCATTATGTCCAATTCAAGGCTTTGCTGGAAAAGTTTGGATTTACACAGATGATTAGCCTAAGGGACTTTGGATTTAAAGGAATTATGCCCTTCAGACTCACTTTCTCTGCAAGTGCTTCTTCCAGTGTAGTCAAGGCAGTGTCAGTGTTGGTGGTGTCAGCCTGCAGGGATTTTACTCGATCCTTCAAACTGCTCATTTGTTTCTCCTTGTCTCTTAACTGTTCCTGGAGATTTTCAATCTTAAGAAAGGAAAGATAAGAAAAGTATGACTTAAGAGAATTTACCTGTGAACAAAGCTTTATAATGCATTTCTAAAAGAAATATACTGATATTAAAACATCAAACCTCTGCAGGTTCAGCTCTCTATATCAAAGGAAAACATGCCACAAGAAAAAAGCCACATGCAAGATTTTAGCTTTTGGGTGTCCATCACAAAATATGGTGAAACATGCAACTAAAAGTAGTATATATGAATTTTTTAAAAAACTGAAGGACAATTTAAGCACATTAGGTGAGACAGGAAGTAACACTTTGAGTATCTAGGAAAGAGAGCTCTGAGAAAAAAATATAGCCTAAAAAATATTTTCAAAATAGTATAAATAAAGGAAGGGAATTATCTACAGCAAGAGTGTCAAATTCATCCAGCCCCACAGGCTGGATGAGCTGCACAGGGCTGTGTCATCTATCCCAAGGGGAAGCTGGTGGGCTCAGAAATTTGGCAGTAGCAGCAGAAGAAGCTGCAGAAATTAGCACTGCCACCACTTGCCCAGCTGGCCCTGTCAAGAGCCCACAGGCCAGATGACAAAAGGGCCAAGTCTTTGACATCCCTGATCTACAGTCTTGGAAGATGGTAGGAAAATGTGGAACAGACTGCAGATAAAAAAGGAACATTTAGGTTATATATTAACGAAAATATCAGCAAAGCAACTGACTGCATGCGGAAATATCACTGCCGTTATTAAATACAACGTCAGTGGGAATAATTTAGTGAATAGCTTTGAGTGCACCAAACACTTTTTCTAGACCCAAACTGGAGGCACTTGGATGCAAATTTACTTCAGGCAGAAGATAGTCTGTAACTTCCTTGAAATGGACACTATCCTCAGTATCCTGTTCCTTAATATATTTATACAATGTTTTTTACCTCATGCAATAGTTAAGGGAGAAAGCAGACAATCAAACTATGGCCTCTGACAGAAGGTAGGGCAGGGTGGCACCTTAGAGAGTTTATACACATGCTCCAGGACTGGAGATGGGTGGTGAAGGGCGCTTTAATCAGAGCAGCTCCGATAGATGCTCTAATTAAAGTGCCCAGAGCTTCCCATGTATCAGTGTCCCTGCACTGAGAAAAGGTGGTAGGGGTGCTTTAATTACAGCTCATTCAACAAGCTTTAGTTAAAGTGGCCCTGCTGTCATTTTTCAGTGCAGGGACGCTGATACCCATGACACTGGAGTTTGCTGGAGTGCAGTAATTACCATGTTCAAGCAGACTCAATTAATCTAATCTGCTCTGACACGCTGTAATTACAGTGTGTCAGTGCAGCCTCACTGCATGTGTATAAGTGCCCTTAGAGACAAACTGGTTCAGAGGCAAAGGCCCTCATTTGTCAGATGTTATAAATTGATTTGGAGAAAGAAACAGTTTAAAAGAGAGGAATTTAAATACAAAGGAAAAGGATAGGGGGAAGGGGTACTGATGAAAGAGGCAAAAGGTGGGCTGAAAAGGTCAACAAGGAAAACCAAATTAGTTAACATGAGTGACACAGGAATAAACAGGTGAAGTTAAAAGCTATTCCAGGTAAGGGGGTAAGAATCCATAGTCTCTGCTGAGATTAAACTTTACACAACCCAGCCTGTGGATGATTTCATGTTCTGCAATTTCGTGTTCAATCTGTTTCTTTCTTTTTTTTTTCTGTTTAAGGACAGCTACTCTGAGCTCAGTGATGCACTGTCCAAGGAGCTTAAAGAGTTCTGCCATGGGTCTCTGTCTGTTTCTGGATTTAATATCAAATTGGTGTCCACTCACTCTTTTACGTAAGAATTCCCTTGCCTGGCCAAGGTAGACAGCAGAGGGACAAATGTAGACAGCAGGTGATGGCCTATATTGCACTGGTAGAGGAGTGGGTAAATGAACCCCAGATATTCTATTTTGTGTGGTTTGGCTGAGCGATGATATGTTCAGTATTGATGAGGAGACACAACTGGCATCTGGATTTACAGTTGGGACTGGTGGCTTGGTGAGAGTTGGACTTTGATCATCTCTTGCTGTGGAGACATCTTTTGACCTGAGATATACTGACCTGATTTTCTATAGATTTGTTGGAATATTTTTAATTGGTAGTGATTCAGAAAATACCTTTTCTTCAAATGGCAAGATCCACTAGCATAATTACATCCAGTTCTGTGCACAAACAAAATTGCATCTCTCAGGGAACTGAAAACTTTGGTAGCTTGTAAACAGTGTAACCAACTGATATAATCCAATCTGCAGAGGATAAGTATCCTGTGTTTTGTTTTTTTAATTCTGTTTCTTTGCAGAAAAGACATATTTTCTACATAAATGGGCATATAGCAGGAATGAAAGAAAGAGAAAACAGTAACATGCACATACAGTATGTATGTTGTATAGTATACATCTTCTTAAGACTTGCAAACTAGTAATTGTTTCACAGATATTTGCTTAACAAGACATCTCCCAAAGGGCTGTCTTGGTAGACTCAAATTCCATTAATTTTGTCAAAGGAGCTTGAATGCCTTATTATTAAAAATGGAAGGCAAGAAGTTGGCACTGATTATGGGAGACTCATACAGACTAGTTTTTTATTAAAAACACAAGGCTACTTACAGGTTACCCCTATGAATATTTCCAAACTATTACATTCGCTTGCAAATGCATATGTATGCATATAGTACAGGTATGCACAAAGACTATATAGCAGAACGGATACAAAAAATGCATTCGGTGTCTACACTATCAGTTATAAACTGAAACAGTAAGGGAAAGACCGTTGGCAAGTAAAGCATTTTTGAAAGAGTATACTTCTATATTTATATTGACAATATACATTTAAGACCAACACAAATCATGCCTAACACATTAAACAGAGACGAAAACAAAGTTATAACAGGTAACAAGAGTGTGACCTGTTGAAAATAAAAGCATGCGAATCTTTGAAATTCTCCTTTCTTTAAATTGAAATATGTATGATGTTTAAGTCCTTATTCATATCTTCTTGTAGCACTAGTGACACTTTGGGGTTAAACAGGATCAGCCACAAAACAGAAATCTAACAGTTCTGAAAGAACAGTTTCTCTCTTGACATGCTCACACAGGTGCAGCTATTTCTAAACTGAACCAGGTAGTATCTCATACAGTAGCATATGTGGCTGTTTTTGACTTGATGAGACTTCAGAGTTTCATCAGCTGTCTAGACAGACCAACCGTTTAGATAGTCAAGCAAGAAAATACACTGCAAAGATGTGAGAACTATTCTTAGACTCCTGTTTACTTCTGGAAGGGAAATACTTGGCAGTAAGTGCTCCAACAGGCTGGACAGAGAAGACAGTGCACACAGATACCTTCTGCTCGGAGAAAGTAACTCCAAGAGAAGCACACCTAAACAACCAAACATGAAAGTGAATTAACCAGCTGGCCAAGACTATGCACAACTGAAAGAGATGAATACATTTATGTGACCAGAGCCATCTGATAGTTTTTGACTACTTCATTCCCCTTCATTACAGCTGCATTTAAACAGAGAGTGTCTGAGGTGCATATTTAGTAGGGCTGTGTGCAACATCACCATTTCATTTTGACTTCCGTTTAGCTGTTTCGATGGGACAGTGTTTCATTTAGAGTTTCGTTTAATTTCAAAGCTGCTGTTCCATTTCATTTTGTTGAAACTGTTTTGATGTTTTGATATTTTGCCCATAGGCTATAATGGGGAATCATTAAACTGCCTATAACTTTGCCATTTCTTGCCCGATTCAAATGAAAACAGTGGGGAGAGTAGCCCTTGCTGAGGCCACAAAGCCTTGTCAATATTCAAGGAGATAGGTGCAAGGGCTTCTGGGAAACTACACCTCAGAGTCTTGCAAGCAAAACTCATGTCACTTGTAAGTGTGAAGGCACAGGGGGGGTGAAAAGAGCAGGGAGAGTAGCCCCTGCTGAGGCCATGAAGCCTGCCAAGTTTCAAGGAGATAGGTGCAGGGCTTTCTGGGAAACTGCACCTCAAACTGTTCAGAGCAAAAATCGTGACGTGTGACTGTGCATGTGTTAAGGCACAGTGGAGTGAAAACTGCAGGGATGGTAGCCCCTGCTGAGGCGATGAAGCTTGCTAGGTTTCAAGGAGATAGGTGCAGGGTACTCTAGGAAACTATACCTCAAACTGTTGACAAGCAAAACTCATGATGTGTGTGTGTGTGTGTGTGCATGCATGTCTGTGTGTGTGTGTAAGGCACAGCTATTTTTCCGTCCCTCCCCCAGAGCACTGGGATTGGAAGGGACCTCAGGGAGGATGAGAGTCACTGGCCAGCTACAGATGTCAATATCAGAGCAGTCCTTTCCCTCTCTTCTCCCTCCCTCTCTTTACTTTCTGTTTCCCTGCAAGCAAGCCCAGCCTCGAAACTCAAAATATTTTGAAACTTTGGAAATGTTTCAAGTACCCTCATTTTGTTTTGAGTTGGTTTCGAAGACTTTCATTTCATTTCAATTTCACTGTTTCGAGCTTGAAACAGTGTCAAAACAAAACACTCGGCAAAATTTCGCACAGCCCTAATATTTACTATAAACTTTGTATTTCTAAACAGAACGTCTAACTCTGCATGTTTAGTTGGGCTGGTCCTGATGCCTTTGGTTAAAACAAGTATATTGGAGCATTCAAACCATATCAAAAGCTACTCAGCAACCAAAGAAAATGTGCAGAACACAGATCCATTTTCTGCAGAATCAAATAATTGCTGGTCCACAATAAAAAACAAACTTGTCCTTAAACTAAAATTTAAGGAAAAAACAAGAATGGGCTTATGGGGAACAAACTGTCCCATTTCACATGCTCAGTATAGAAATATCAGTAAAATTTCCCTTTTGAAATAGTCAGTGACATTCAGTAACCTGTATTTAAATTTCCCCAAAGCCTACACAGAAGTGACTCAACACAGAGACAGAAGCTATAGGTTCTCCAATGCTGCACATACCCAAGAAAATCTGTGCAAAATACTCCTTGCTCTGGCCATACAT